GGGTTTTTTTCTGTTTGCTAATCTGCATATCAGCACATCACCGATGGTTATTCCCCACCGTTCCTCTGAGTGGAGAGGCTTAGCTTGAGATTAATTTCATGTTATTCCAGCAAGCTCACTGGCAGACAGTCAATCACCTGAGTTCCTTCTACAGTCAGTGGAAAGAACAAGGGATTTAGAAGATGTGCTTAACCATAAAGAAACAGGCTGTTAGCTCTAACTTTGCACACTTAGTTAACACTTTGCACAGTGTTAACTGCAGGGATTTAAACCAATATAAAACTTATTTATCAGGTATTTGCAATAAGCTGTTCCTCTCACAGCTGCATGGTAGGTGTCTTGGTTGATATCAGCGTAGTTTGTTCTGGTCACAGAACAGGTGTTCATACCTGTCCAATGCATAAACTGGGATTGGTAATGGGAAAATCAGAGCAGAATTTTCCCACAGGTCCCACTAAATTTGATGCCCACGCTAGAGTGCTCATATTACAAAATTTACACAGTAGACATAACTAGAATAGCTTTTCAAAACTTCTGTTAATGCAGAGGCCTTTGGTACAAAAACCAGTTTATTGTTATCTCAAAAATTAAGAATAAAAATCAATTTCAATGTAGTAAATTGTCAGAGGAGAGAAATAAATCCTTTTTAACAAAGTTCATATTTGTCATAAGATATAAATATTAGGGCTAGAAGTAGTAGCTACATTCTTCCCTGTCCATCTCCCAACCCACCTATAAATTCATAAAAGTAGAGTGAAGACAAATTATAGTTTGGAATAGAAAGAAAAAGGTAGAGACATTCTATTTTTCCTGATATTTTTATTGTACTACTCTCCAAACTGTGTTGGAAAACAGGAAGGGTGAAGACATGATCTTACTGAAATCAGCTGTAGAATTTTACTCGCTGTGAGGTTTTCACCCTAGTGCCAAACACCCGGTTGACGGGGCTGACAGATATTCTCCTTGCATAGTCAGCAAAGGCAAAATAAATAAATAAATGACATATTTGCAATATATCTTTGCTGCATTAGACAAATTCAGAGCAAATTAAATGTAAGTAGCACGTTGCTGTAATGAAGTCCTAGAGATGAAACACGACTGGAAGTAGCTACAAACATCTCTACTGGGTGTATGTGCTGTAGGGGTTAACACCGGCCATCATCAACATCACTTACTGAAGGTGCACTTAGCCTACTGCTTGCTAACACCAAAAGCTGTTAAATGAAATTACTACTATATTTATTAATAATAATTAATTTAATTAACCATATTATTAATATATTAGTAAATATTAATATAATAAAAAATAAGAATAGCCCAAACATGCCAAACTAGTTTATATCTGGGACAGCCCTTGACTGGTACTAGCAAAGGAGATGTAAGTTTGTTTAGAGAGTATGGGATGAAGAAGTCAACCAGCATATTATGTGCTTGTTCCATCAAATATCATGCTCGGTACATATCATGTTGAATGGCAAGTGATACTCCTTGAACTGCTCAGATGGAAGCCTGGGAGATATGAAAATGAACTGCTGACATCTGAATACTTTTATTTTGCTCAATCTGAATAGTTTAACTTTGCTTGTTTGGGAAAATCACAGCCCTAAACCAGGAAAGTTCAGGATTTTATCACTGGAGTTTACTTACACCAATGTCAGAGGTTTGATACACTGCTGTTGTGTTTTAATTAAATTGGTGTCATGATCTTTTGCAGGAACATGATGAAACTGGCCTGAAGTCTAAGACTGTAATTGTGCATATTGAAGTAAACCAAATATAAATGAATGTAACAAAACTGATACCAGATGAAAAGTTGTATTAACTGAGGTGAGGTAAAAATAGCCACTGAACTGGCATTATGTATATAGTCTAAGGCTGTGGAGGACTTTGGCTTCTTTTTTTACAGAGGGAACGTTTGTGTTCGAAACTGGCCTGAAGTCTAAGACTGTAATTGTGCATATTGAAGTAAACCAAATATAAATGAATGTAACAAAACTGATACCAGATGAAAAGTTGTATTAACTGAGGTGAGGTAAAAATAGCCACTGAACTGGCATTATGTATATAGTCTAAGGCTGTGGAGGACTTTGGCTTCTTTTTTTACAGAGGGAACGTTTGTGTTCCTTTCCAAATCTGCTGAAATGTTACAGCATTGTAAGAAGGCATTGATATTGCGATAGTTCTGCTGTTAATAAAAATAGCTATTAAGGATTTGAACACTGTAGCACCTTTCTTTCGTGAAGGTTGTAGTGCTTGTAACAATGCAACTCTCTCCTCACAAAAGGGGTTGAAGGTTACTGGTGGCATTTTGACACTGGATATGCTGAAGTGGAGACCATCATTTAAAGTGCTGAGGAAAGTGCAAAAGGAGTTACTCAAGTTAAAATTGAACTCATATGCCATAGTGCACATAGTCCTTTTATCAAAGGAAGTGATGGACGAGCCACAAAAAGTGTCTCAGCAGCAAGTTTATGTCTCTTCAAAAATATCAGCAATTAAACTCTGGCCTTTGGAGGGGGAAAAGCACAAACCAAAGAGCAGTGGATGATCTTATTGTACAAGGGGTTGTGGGTTCATATCCCAGATTAGCTCTTCAACTTGCCTGCAAAGGTGAAGCTACCTATTGAAGATCTTTCCTCTGGTGCCTGTGCTCTGCTGGTAGGAACTAATGAAAGGAAAACATGAGGAATTATGTGAAAATCCAGATAACACGAAGGGAAAGCAGGGGAATGAAGGAGAAGCAATGCGACAATGATAAGCTGATGCACAAGTATAAATGACTTTGGGTGTGAAAGGAGTAGACAAACTTTAAAACAAAGTGATTGAATGAACCATTTTGCTTCTTAAGAAATCAGCGGTTGGCTGCATTCCTCACTAATAACACCTGGCTCAGGATTAGCTGGGATTTAGCAATCCAAAGTCTATTTAAATTTGTCCAGGCAGTCAAATGCTGCATTGCTTGGCAGTTGATGCATCTCTTGCAAATCAAGATGCATGTAATTTGCCAGGTGATCCTGAGAAGTACTCAATAACTTGTGTAATATTAGAAAAGCATGGCACAAACCAGCCTGATTCTCAGGGAGGCTGATGAGATGTGGGGTGAAAATACTTCTAAATAATCCTTCTTCCCCCTCTCCTAGATTCTAACCTGCTTCTTAAACACTCCTCAGGCACCTAGAGAGGTCCTGGCCTTGTGCTCTCCAGCGTTCAGCATTTCCTAGCACACAAGGTTGCTGGGGTGCACGGCCAGGAAGAACTTTACAAACTCTCCACTTTAGAGAGACATGGAGCTGTTGGAGTGAGCCCAGAGGAGGCCACAAAGACGATCAGAGGGCTGGAGCACCTCTCCTGTAAGGTAAGGCTGAGAGAACTGCGGTTGTTTAGCCTGGAGAAGACAAAGCTCTGGGAGACTCGATTGCAGTCTTTCATTATTTCATAGAATCAGAATGGTTTGAGTTGGAAGGGGCCTTAAAGATCATCTAGTTCCCCCCCCCCTGCCATGGGCTCAGCCTTTGACCAGGTTGCTCAAAGCCTCATCCAGCCTGGCCTTGAACACTTCCAGGGATGGGGCATCCACAGCTTCTCTGGGCAACCTGTTCCAGTGCCTCACCACCCTCTCCGGGAAGAACTTCTTCCTGATAACTAATCTAAACCTCCCCGCTTTCAATTTAAACCCATTACCCCTTGTCCTTTCTCTACAGGCCCTTGTAAAAAGTCTGCTTTTATGAGGCAGAAATGCTGCAAGACACAATTAAATAATTCATTAGTACTTCAGACCCAAACTGAAGTTCAAATAATTATCCATCCCCACCATCATGTTTCAGGGCACACCGCATCCAAACCTAACTTTATTTTCATCATCCTATCTCCCAGGTAACTTAGTCTGAAAGAAACCTCCCTTGTAATGCGTGCCTCAGAAATTTTCATCCTTTCCTGCACCAAGACACTGCTTACCTTAGGGCAGCAATTAGGATGAGGTACACTAAGAACATCACAAGACAGGATCTTTGGATTTTAGGAGTCTGCAGACCCTTTTTCTTCCCAATTGCTTTTACGTATTAAAAGTTGGTAGTTTAAGAAAAACAACTGTAGGAAAAATATTTTGAACCACATAAAGTTTATTTAATTAGTAAAGTTATATTACAATATATACAGTTTCTATTTACATACACACCTTTCTAAGAAATGAAGCACCATATGATACAGTTAGTATTACAGAGGAATATACAGAAATTTTATTTTTGCATCCAAATAGTTATATCTACAGACACACATTGGTTAGAACCAAGTTCTCCTAAGATGCTGACTTCAGTGGGTGCTAGTGAAGTTACCAATCTGCTGTGCTTCAGGATAAGAGATCTTAGCTATGTCATTTCAGAGACTATGTACAATGTTTACTCTCAGAGAAGTCAGAGGTGCAGATGGAAGGTATTTTATAAGACACAAGAATACAACACTTTCATCAGTAAGATTTTTACTGTTATCAGAGTTTCATATGAATGGAAAAGAACACTGCTAAAGTGTTTATACACATTACGCAAAGTGAAGAACCTGGAAGCATATGTGATATGGTATCATGCATTCCCCAAGGAATCCATTTACTTCAAAGAGCCCAGTCTTACAGCTACTGAAGCTCATGGCATGACCCCCTTAACTCAAGGGGAAAGACCCTCTGATCTTTTATGCCAACGTCAAGAAAAAAAGAAGGCTCTGTCCAAGGTACAGTATTTCCCTCGAGTGAATATGACACTTGGAAGGGGAAAACGTAAAACAAGGTATTAAATAAACTACAGTAAAAAAAGAAAGCACCTAGACTGTTTTGCAAAACATCTTAGATATTTTACATAAACAATTATTACATTCACCTGATTGTGGGTGTGCTGGTTTTGGCTGGGATAGGGTTTATTTTCTTCATAGTAGCTAGAACGGGGCTATGTTTTGGATTTGGTCAAGTTTTGTATAAACTCTTTATACCTTTCGTTCTACCTAATTTATGCTTTTCATATTTTTGATTCACTAGACGTCAGATCCAACGGCTGGAAGAAAGCATTGTTACTCTGAGGACAGTTATTATGGCAGACACAGGTGTTGATCAACATCATTGGCTTTTTTAGGACTTTGCCCTGAGGACAGCGGAACTCAACTTGAATCGTTTTGGTGTTGTGTGGGGTGCAGCATCGCCCATCACTGCAGAGGCCACAGTAACGAGGTTTGTACGTCTGCACGCTGGTGCAGTTCTTGTGTTCAAAGCGAACAGCCTTCAGGGGCTTCTTTGTTCGGACACATTTCTTCCCTTTCTAAGAGAAATATGAAGAGACATGAGATGACTGCATAAGACAGAAAGCTGTTAAAAGTTGACATGCAAGGATAAAGGTGTACTCTGAAAACTTAAATTTGTTGTCTTTGCTTGTTCAAGAGCAGTAAGACTGCAGCTACTTCCGTAGTTACTTACAGGTAACTCCTGCAAGTTCTGCCCTTTGACACCAGTGTGTTATTATAGGGCCGGCAATAAATGACAAATAATTAAAGCCCACTCTCGTCATTTGAGACAAGCCAAACTAAAATTCATTATGAAACTCTACTCTACTGGGAAACTTCTCAGGCTAGTGTAGTTCCATCAGAGAATCAGGAAGCTAAATGAGCAAGGACTAGATTCAAGGGAAAAAAAGAAAGTTAAACTGAACCTTAAAAGTCACTGCCAATTCTTGTGACCCAAGACAGAATCAGCTTTATCCATGTTATTCTTAACAGATGGTTGTCTAACTTGTCCTTGGAAGTCTTCAGTGACAGAGACTCCACATCTGCCACAGACAATCCTCACAGTCCACTTACTGCTTACACAGCTAGGAAAATGCACCTCTGTTCTCTTGCATTCAGAAAAGATTCAGTTCAATCTTCCCCTAGCAGAACATGTTTTCTAGACCCTTGATCATTCCTGTTAGTCTCCCCAACTCCTCCCAAACGTTTCATATTCTTTTCAAAACCCAGTATTTAAAAGTGCACAGAGTATTCAGCAAAGGCCTTAGTAATGCTGTCCAAGGCTCAGATTACATAAAGTGATGGCCCTTTTACCTAGCTACATCTTATTCTCCCTGACAGTTAACACTTGTATAATGTGTATAAGCAGAGAAAAAGTCAACTTCCTTAGATACACATTTATTGCACCTTAAGTGTCAGCGTTGGGTTTGCTTTTGGAAAAAGCATCGTAAGGATTAAGATAAGGTTTAATTTACCCAAGTTGATTTTGCAGGATTTCACACATTTCCCTGCAGTTCCAGACGCTCAACAGACTAGAAATCTGACACATCCACCTGCATGATTGGAGCAGCTCTGTAGTCTACATACAGGTAGTACAATTGCATTTGTGGGAAAAGTTAGACTGCTTGAGCTGTCAAAATAGTCTGCACATAATCTGTCTGGGATGGCTCAAATTATCACAGAATCATAGAATCACAGAATCATAGAATGGTTTGGGTTGGAAGGGATCTTTAAAGGTCATCTAGTCCAACCCCCTGCAATAATCAGGGACATCTTCAGTTCAGTCAGGTTGCTCAGAGCCCCATCCAACCTGGCGTTGAATGTTTCCAGGGAAGGGGCACCTACCACCTCTCTGGGCAACCTGTGCCAGTGTTTTGCCACCCTCATTGTAAAAATCTCTTTCTTATGTCTAGTCTGAATCTATCCTCTTATAGTTTAAAACCATTGCCCCTTATCCTGTAACAACAGGCCCTGCTAAAGAGCCTGTCTTTCTTATAAGCCCTCTTTAAGTATTCAAAGGCTGAAATCAGGTCTCCCCGGAGCCTTCTCTTCTCCAGGCTGAACAAGCCCAACTCTCTCAGCCTTTCCTCATAGCAGAGGTGCTCCAGCCCTCTGATCATCTTCGTGGCCTCCTCTGGACTGGCTCCATCAGCTCCATGTCTTTCCTGTGCTGAGGACCCCAAAGCTGGATGCGGTTCTCCAGGTGGGCTCTTACCAGAGTAGGGCACAGGGGCAGAATGACCTCCCCCATTACCTGCTGGAGGTGCAGCACAAAGCTACTGAGCAAGCAGAGCAAATCTAATGCTTACTGAAAACACTGGGCTTGCTGCACATATGCTAAACGGTGTATTTGGTCACACTTGCATGTGGAGCATTCTAGACCATATTGCAACCTTGGAATTACGGCTGGAGACTGCTCCTCTACCACTCTGCAGCATACCTTGTCAGACGGCTCTTCATTTTCACAAGGTCTTATCATGCAAAGCCGTGTCTGCTTCACCATCTCACACTGCTGATTTCTGTTGGTAACACGAGTGGAAAAGCCCATTCCGCAACTTTTGGAACAAGCACTCCATTCTGTCGTCTGCTCAATACAATTGGCACTTGAATCCGACACGTCGATCCCGAGTGTGGCCTCTTGTCTGTAGGCTGGAGACAAAACCCCACAGAACTTTATCACAAGAAAAACTCATGAGAAAACTCAGTATATGATTAAGCTCTACCACACCTGGGAAGAAATATGAAAAAAGGTCTAAAATCCATGCTTTGACCGGATTTAGGAATTTTAAAAGCTGCGTTTTTAGGAGCCCTGGATGGCAACTTCCTACATCTAAAAATAACCGAAAGGTGGATGCCAGTGTAATCAGCAAGGCATTTAGATTCAGTTCACTCAAGTCCACAGCTGGAAGAATTATTACTAATTTTTTAACCAGTTCAGAACTCTAATAACATTCCTCACTCTTTCCAATGGAAACACATCACAAATCTGTTCTAAAGCTATGTCATAAAAACACTTAGATATGACTTAAGAGAGGCTGAACGATTTATCTAAACTAATGAACAGCATGGAAGTAAAGTCCTTGACTCCCAGAGCCATAAAGTCACCCGATTTTGTCAATTATTGACAGATTATAGCCAGGGTGATGGTGGGAAGGGAGGAACTAATTTCCAGCAGTTATCGCAGCTACTCAAAGGCATAGCCAGCTCCGATCACCATCCTGCCCTCACAGCAGTATTAAGCTGTATTATGCAAACACTGCTAACGGGTTATCAGGGGAGTAAACAGAATGAGGCAACACGACCAAGCCGTCAGTCACAGCTCTTGCTGTTAAGCTCCTCTACAGCAGCATTTTTGACTTTGGCATGGTAAAGCCTCAAAAAGGTGGCCTCCCAACAGGGATGCCATGGCTAGAAAGAATGCAGATAAGCCATCTGGAGACATTTTACAGATTAGCCTGTTACTGTCAAGACAAATCAAAAAAAAAAGAGAAAATAGTAGAAAAGTGGTAAGGTTTTTGTTTATACCTCATGCGCCTTACAACTGACACTTCACAGCGCTGACAGATTATCAGAGCTTTTCTTCCTGGATCCTTCCACACTTGTTTTTCGAATGGATTAGCTGAGTTTCAGCATAACTAACTGCTTAAGACCACAAAGAGCAGTGACTGGAAGAGAATGCAGTGCCCTCAGCTCTCAGTAAAAGTAGCTTATTATTCATGTTGAACTAATAGTCTAATTTAAAGGGGATGGAGACATAATTCAGTAAGAAAACAGGGTGAAAACATTATGTAGCTTTCTTCAATTACAAAAGCACTTTATAATTTCTGCGTTTTGGAATGGGATGGGGTTTTTTTCAGATCTAATCACTGTGTTTATAACCACTGCTTCTCCAAGTACTTTGCAATGCTTTTAATGCCAACAATAATGATGAGAGGTCTAGCACAGACAGGCAGGAATTTGTTGGCATTTTAGCTACCATGCTGACCAAGTGTAATAGGTGGGGAATCTAGGGGGAAAAAAAAAAAGTCTCTTGTACACTAAGCTGTCAGAACCGTATTTATGATTGAACATATTCTTGCAGAGCAGCTAGCAAGACTGCAGCTTTGATTTGGGAGAGGGGAGGAGATGTTCAGAGGATTATGAGCTTGCCTCTGTTTTATTCCACTCACAGAACTACCCTGTACCAGATAAACAGCAATTTCAGAACTGGGAACTAACTGAAGTTAACTACCATTTCAAATTCCTATGCATATTCATCCTCTGAATATCTTTGATTTTACCTGTAGAGCTCTGCCTTTATTCATAACCACTGGTATACTTACTGGTGACTCCAGATGAGAAAAAAAGACCAGAAAAAACCCAACCACACAAAGCAATGTATCTTAGATTTGGCAAGCCCACGGATATTTCCGGTACGATATCACCTCCTTCTCACAATGCCTGCGATAATTATTTTTTGTTCCCCCCCCAGCCATAGCAAAACCTCCCAAAATCACTTCATCTTTAGGGTCACAGATCCACTTCTCACAGCACTCTCCAGGGACTTCGATTTTTCTGGGGAAAGGGCAGTCGGGGCCGGGGAGCAGCAGGTCCAGGTTACAGCGGGGCAGGCAGCCGATCTGTCCATCTCGGCAGGTGCACTGGTACTTGCAGCTGGGCTGGAACGTCTCCCCGTTGCGGTAAATCATCCCGTCAAACACGCAGTTGTCTCCCTCCAGCACTGGTGAGAAAGAAAAGCGAATGAATTGCACTCAGACCGAGGGCAGCGGCCGAGCGCCGCGGGCACA